CATTAGCACCTCTAGTGATATATTTACTGAGAAAAATGGTGACGTGTTCAATACTTATTTTACCCGCTGTGTCTAAGAATGATTGTTGTTAGCAGATCTTGTTCTGACTTTAATCATTCTGTCTGCTGATGAACAGCAGGTCATGAAAACCTAGGTCATTAAAGTATGTCATGAATTACTGACTTAAACCTAAAAGTATTAGTTCCATCACAGTGTACATTACACCATTTCATATTTTCTCCAATAGACCAACCTTTATCATTCTCTTAAATACATCCATTGATCTGGCATTTTTAACATCATCTTCCAGTATATTCCATAATCTTATTTCTTGAATTGAAGTACACCGTTCCTTCAAAATACCCAAGTAACTTCAAAGTACCCCAGTTATGTTACACTTAACTGTTGTGTTGTCTACATTGAATCCCTGTTTATCTGTGAAGCCTCCACTTGTAAAACATTCATATTCAGCATCAGAGTTTGTTTTATATCTTGTTGGTGGTCCGTTTTCTTCATTATTTGAGAACTCAGCACATTTTACTTGGTTCTAATATACACATGTAAAAAGTTGTGTATTTTCTGGGCTCCATGTAGAAGTTACATTTTATAACACATTGGAAATTTGAAAAACAACGGTACGTTTGATTGAGTATTACTTTCTATTTTATTCTCTTTACATGTTTCCCTTTGTACTTTGGCACATTCTTGTGAGCTATATTTTTCCAGAAACACTATTGGCTGTGCACCAGGTGCTTTAGTGCACAATATGCATTCATTAGACATCATTTCCCTTCATGTATAAAGTGCTCATAAACACCATGTATTTTGATTAGCTAATTCCAAAAGTTCATCTCCTCTCACAGCTCCTGTCCTTCCTGATCGAGGAGCGACAGCGCCTTGATTTATTTCAGCTCCAGGTCTAAATGGTTTAAAAATAGGTTTAACATGATTTTGATTGTTAATTCCTTTAATCCAGAGGTTAAAAAAAACTGGGGTCTGTGAGTCGTATCTTGAGGCTCCTCAAAAATTTTCAATAAATTGTTCATTTGACTTTTATTTTAAAAATGCACACAGGGAACAATACACTAGTAAAACAAACATAAAAGGTGGAATTTAGATGGTAAAATGACAGTAAACTATTTTTTAAAACAGCATGAGGTTTATAAGGGGGTTCCTAGAATTTTTTCACCCTTGTAAGGGGTTCCCAGACCCAAAACGTTTGAGAACCCCTGGAGTCCGATCCTCCCTGACCAGGGTCAGAGATGTCAGAAATGGCACTACTTATGGTGGTTAAAGCCTCTGTAGTTTGTTTTGTTGGTTCAACATTTGTGGAGCTGTTTTTCCTGGGGTTACACCTTTATTGATTACCTTAATAGTTAATGTTTTTCTGTTAGTGGACTCACTGTTGGTTTCAGAGCCGGCTCTTGGCATAGGCAAACTAGGCGGTCGCCTAAAATTCAAAATTTAATTCTAGCGGCAGAACGGGTTGGAAGATGGCTCTTTAATGTTATGTATTGTTTTTTAATCATCTTACAGGCTCTGACATGTTAGATAAATTTGAAAATGAGGTTTTTAAAATATCCGTAAGACTTGAAAAAGTCAGTGAGATTGCTCTATACGTCCGTATACCTGCAAAATGACATAAAATCCTTATAACTTATGGACAATCCGTACAAGTTGACATGTATGTTGTTATTTGCTTTCTGGGAAAGCAAATAAATCTAAGCTTACCATAGTACCTTACACTGTCAAACTTGTTTTTAGGGGTTTAAATTGGGGTGGGTGGGACATAGTTCGGTTGCGCTTCAACTCACCTAGGGCACCAAACTGGTTGGTTTGGTTGTTAAAGGTGTAACTGTACTGGTTACACCAAACAGGTTGAGTCTCATCTGGTTGTTTTAATTGGAGTTTTTTCTTTCAGGCTGTAGAAGTTTAAACTCTGAGTGAGTCCAGGTGACTGTTGAGAAATCATTTCTAAAGAAACAGGTGAGTCAGAAAGTCAAAGATGATTTATTACGAAATGTTATGATCTGATTCACCTGCTGTCATTCACCTGTTGACAGAGAATAAATAAACTAGATACAGTATTAAACAAAGAGCAACATTACCAAAGAATGAATCAGATTCCAGGTTTCAGGTCTAATCTCTAGTTTCACTCATGGTTCACCTTCATGAGAACTTGTTGCATCAGACGTTGTGTAAAATGTCAAATAATTCGATAAAGTTATAAATGTGCAAAATGTAATGTATAAATTTCCCCACTGTGTGATCAATAAAGTTTTATCTGATCTTAAATCTCATGAACTTTTATTCACAATCAGAACTTCAGATTTGGATCCTCTTTGTTTTGAAACCAGTTTTGGTCCAGAGAAGACAGCAGAGGTTCTGGATGCTGACCTGTGGAAGTGGTCCTGAGTCCATGCACTGAGGTCCAGAACCAGAACCAGACTCTGAGGGCCTGAAGACCACCACCATACAATATGGACTTTCAGACAGATTATAATCTGATGATATTAACAGGAGTTTAGGACTTTTATTTTGAAAGTTTCACTATTTTAGAGTTTTCCTCAGACTGCTGACCCTCTGGCCTTTAGTCCTCTGAACAAAGATTTTACACTTTATTGTTTTGAACACTCATTGTTTACTGTGTTCCACTGTCAATAAAAACATTTTAATGAGATTTTTTTTAAACTCGAGTTTTTCAGAACCAGGGTTGTTTTTTTCTTTCAGTGTCACCAAACAACAAACAACAACCAGCTACAAATCAGAGTTTTTATTAGAAAATCAAAGAAACAAATGTTTCTCAGCAGCAACAACAAACATGTTTCAAAACGTCTTCATTTTCCAACAGGTTCCTGAACGCACCACAGAGCTCTGCAGTGTCCTCGAATGCACCGCAGGAACAGTTTTAGTTCCTGTTCTGACCCGGTCTGAGGATCTGCTGCAGTCTACACAGGCTGGTTCTGATCCGGTTCAGTTTGCATGTCCTGGTTCTGGTTCTGGTTCTGGGGAACCTGTTGTGGGTCTGTGGTGGACCTCCCGGTCAGGATGCCTGAGAAGTGACTGGCCAGAACTGCTGAGTCATCAAATTGCAGCGGGAATCTCTGCAGGAGAGAGGAAACCGGGTCAGCTGGTTCTGATCAGCTCTCCACACCGGACCCAGACAGAACCAGCTGATCTGAGTCCGGTTCTGGAAGAACAGACGTGGGTTCTCCTCAGAACACAGAACAGGTTCTGACAGATTTTACTGAACTTTGTGAACCAGTTTGATCCGGATCATTCAAGGTCCAACAGAACGTCAACAGAACCCGGGTCTGAAAACTGAAGCCAATGTTTCCTGATGACCAGCAGGGGCGCCGGCCTGACGTTCAGGTTCTGATCGAGTTTATTTACAACTTCCAGACTTTTGGAGACTAATTTACTTTTTTGTTGTTGATTTTTTTTAAATGTTGACTTTTTTAGATCCAAATTACATAAAATATTGATCATTTGGTAAAACTGCTCCCATTTTTACGAAAAAAAAAATCTGTTTCAGGTCTTTTTATAAGAAAAGCAGTAATTTGGATATTTTTCATGTTTATGATTTTTAGGATGAGATTTTTATTTTTAACATTTTCCTCACCGTCTCGACTCAGATTTACTTTTTTCACTTGGTTCCAGTTTTTAATAAAAGTTAAACACTTTAAAATTTTTAATAAAAGTTAAAAAAAACTTTACAGTTTTTAACTTTTATTAAAAACTTTAAAGATTTTAATAAAAGTTAAAAACTTTAAAGTCCGACTCACCTCCGCTCTCTTTCGTCTTCCTCTCGGTTTGATTTCCTTCAGCTGCTCTTCCTCTTCTTGCTCCTCCTCTTCCTCCTCATCTTGCCGACAAGCCAACTTCTTTGTGATTGGCGGCACGGCGGCCAGGAGGGCGGGGACAGTGAAGCAGGACAGGAAGCGCGCCTTTAGCAGCTGGTAGGCGGGGTTAGAGGAGAAACGCTCGGCCACGAGCCGACGTACCTCCTTCACCTGCTCCTCCTCTTCCTCCTCCTGCTTGGAGCTGGCAGGGGGATCAGTTGGGCTACCTGTGTGGTCTTCAGCTGGTCTGGGGTCTGGAGGATGGGGAGCTGAGCCGGGGGGTTTGGTCTGGGAGGACCGGGGTTCACCGGCGCCGCTCAGCAGCTGCAGAGACGACTGCGTCAGCGTCTGTTTGGCTCGCAGCAGCGCTCTGAGCGCGCTCAGTGAGCCGACGAACGGCGGCAGGTAGGGGAGGGCCGACCTCGCTCCAGGTACGGCTACGCCTCCTCGCCCACTCAGCCAATCACGCACCTCCTCTGGGGGCTCCCGGAACATTAACGCAGGATTAAAGTGCAGCTCCTCCCTCCTGAGAGGCGGAGCCTTTGAGGAGTCCACTTTGAGAACAACCTTATAAGGTAATGCCACTTTACCGGGAGGCTGGGGGGAGGGGCCATGTGGCAGCACACAGGCAAGGGGGAGGGGCTTTGGTTGACAGGTTGATGAGGCAGGATTTAGAGAATTTACAGAAAAAGTGACTGGTTTCAGCCCAACAAACTGAAGCTTTTCAGCTGTGGGAGGGGGCGGAGCCAAAGGAGCAGGGCGGGGAGCGCTTGGTAAGAACGCCAGCTGAGAATTTTGGGGCACGACCACTGGAACCAGTCCAGAAGGGGTCATCACCCACATGTTCTGAATTACAGGTAAACATGGCGTGGCAGCCTGAGTCAGGGGCGGAGTCTGATCGATGACGTCCTGCTTCGGGCCGGAACTGCGGGCCGGTTTCCTCCGAGGAGAGGAGGCGGGGCTTTTTTCATTCATAGCTTTAGCCTGGAAACAAATAAGAAACAAGTTAGTCCACCTGTACCTGAGCTGGTCTCACCTGAGCTGGTCTCACCTGAGCCGGTCTCACCTGAGCCTCAATGGCTTCTCTGGCCTTCAGACTTGCCTTTCGAAGCCGCTTTCCCTCCTGAGCAACAACTGCACAGGCCCCGCCCACATCCTGTTGCTCCTCCTTCTCCTGCTTCCTTTTTCTACCTGTATATAAACATTTAAAAAAATCTTTGGGGGTGGGGTCAGGTTTTTTGGGGGCAGGGCTAGCATTGGGATCGACGTAGTTGTGGTCAGTAAGGGCCAGTGGAGAATCGCTGGTTGTTGAGGAGGTGGGTGGAGCTGAAGTGAGTCTTTCAGAGGAAAAAGAGGAGGAGTCAGGAGGAGGGGGAGGGGCTGTGGATTGGTGGGAGGAGTCAGGAGGAGTGTTTGTTTCCTGGGTTTGACCTGCTCCTGAAGAACCCGGACCTTTCCCCGCACAGAACTCCTCCCTGAGGGCGGAGCTGGGAGTAATGGATGTGGGCAGAACAACATTGTTATTGGTCACAGAGGAGCCAATAGAAGCAGAGGAGGGCGGGGCTAAGGGGGTGAGTTTGGGAGTGGGGACCACAGAGGCAGGAGGTGTAAACTGAACGAAAGTGTCCGGAGGAGGAAGGAGACAGGAAGGACTTGTCTGAAGACTCCTGACAGGAAGTACCTGATGGAGGAGGGGGGGCTTGCTCAGTGAACGCTGCCTGAGCTCCTCCTGCTTCGCCTCCTGCAGCTGCTGCAGCATCAGTCTGCGCCGCTCGTCCTCCTCCTCCTGCTTCATCGTACTCCTCTGCTGAGCACTCCTCTGATCTTTCCTTCTGCTCGGCGAGGCGGCAGGGGGCGGAGCCTGCAGCCCCGCCTTGCTCTTCTTCTTCTCGATCATGTCCTTGCAGCCGGGGGTGTCCACGTTCATGACCTGGAGGAGCAGCGTGAAGATGGAGGAGGAGGAGACGCCACTGGCCTCCGCCCGCTCCCTCAGGAGGTCCGCCACCGTCCACCGCCGGCTCTCGGCGAACAGCAGGTTCCCGACCCACGGCGTGACGGCGGCCTGCAGGTCGCAGTACAGCCCCCTGTCCGTGACCCGGGTCAGTGGTCCTCCTGTCCGTCGGGGGTGGGCCCTGTTGAACTTCTGCTCCTGGGCGCTCAGGTGGGCTCGCAGCTGGTCGAGGGTCACCATCATCATGGCGGCGCAGTTGTGGCGCTCCTCCCACCGCAGCACCATGGGAGGGGGTCCGAGGACAACGGAGCGTCCGGACCGCCCCACCACGGTGGAGCGCACCTGTTTGACTCCCTGAGCCCCGGCCGACGACGGCAGCACCGCCAGGCGGAACCTCAGGTCGGAGCAGGTCTGAGCGTCCTTCGCCGGGATCCAGTCCTTCATCGGGGGGATCACGTACTCCTCCTCTTCCTCCTCAGCCTCCACCCCCTTCCTCCTCCTCCTCTTCGTGTCTTCATCACTGTCCATGTACGGCACCTCGTCCTCCTGCTCTTCGTCCTCCTCAGTCATCACCTCCTCCTCCTCCTCCTCCTTTTTGATTTTCACTATTCGTCTCCTGAGTGTCCTCCTGGCTGAAGCTTTCTCCTTCATCTCCTTCTTTTTTCCTCCTCTTCCTCTGACTGATGGTGCTGCTTTCCTTTCCCGTTTTATCTGTCAGAAACATAAAAAAGTTGCGTCATCAGACGTTTTTTCTCTTGGAAACAAACTTTTCCTTAAATCTGGAACATTAACTTATTATTTCTGTCTGGATGCTGATCAGGGAGGAAGAAAACCATGATGAAGAGGAGGGTGGAGCGGAACCAGACAGGTGAGTTTACCTGACGAGGCTGGCTCAGTTTCCTCCACGTTCTCATGCACTGACAGTCCAAACGGTGAGGGATCTCTGCAGCGATCTTTGCCCAGTGGCCTGAAAAACCACAGGTCAGGGGGTCAAAAGTCAGAGGGTGGGTCAGGGGGTCAAAAGTCAGGGGGCGGGGTCAGCTGTCAGCTCTGAAAACACGGCCGCTCACCGACTCCATGTTTCTCCACCAACTCCTTCAGCAGCTCGATCTCCTTCCAGTCAAAAGGTCCTCGCTTCACGCCTTTCCTCAGACAGTCGACAAACCTGCAGACAAAAAACAAACAAATAAACAAACAAACAAACATATAAATAAACAAACAAACAGATCAACAGCTGTTCTCAGGTCTCACCTATCTCTGCAGCTGCTGTCGGTGCGTCCAGGTACTTCCAACCGGATCTTCCACCAACTCTTCTCCCCGTGACGAGACACGGCCTGCAGCAGGAGCTGAGGGACAGACAGACAGGAGGACAGACAGGAGGACAGAAAGGAGGACAGACAGGTGGACAGACAGGTGGGCAGACAGGAGGACAGACAGGAGGACAGACAGGAGGACACACAGGAGGACATACAGGAGGACACACAGGAGGACAGACAGGAGGACACACAGGAGGACATACAGGAGGACACACAGGAGGACAGACAGGAGGACAGACAGGAGGACACACAGGAGGACATACAGGAGGACACACAGGAGGACAGACAGGAGGACAGACAGGAGGACACACAGGAGAACACACAGGAGGACAGACAGGAGGACAGACAGGAGGACACACAGGAGGATACACAG